GGCCTACTGTGTTCATCCAGCTCTACACCTTGTTATCTTCACATGCAAACATTAGATGTATTGGTATGATTCAGGTTGGTTTCATGCCCTAATCCCCTGGAGAAACTTGTACATGAATATTACCAACTTAAAAATGGAACCAGTTTTGACGAGGTTTCCAAGAGAGATTTGGCAAAATATACCACATGCCACCTTTTAACTTCTTAACAACACCACTAATGTTACAGATACTCCCAGTGGAATTTAAAACAAAACATCATAAGTTGAACCAAGGTCCTGAAAGGGTGTATATGGCACTGAGGAGAGGACCCTCCCCTAATTCCCCACCACGGATTTCAGTCATAAATGGGCTTGCAACTTCTGCTACCTGGTGATATAAAAACATCATTACCTAGTGATTTGGCAGGGGAGTTTAGGATAGTTGCATTGCTTCTCCATCGCTTACTCACCCCCTAGTGATGATGAAAGATATCAATACTAGAGGATAAGGTATGGCTCAAGAAGACTGCTTTGCCTTGTATGGTGTTCAACAGGTGCAGTGCTGTAGCAGTTACACCCGTCCAGACGATTGGGGAATGTTTATGATACTCCTGATCTGTGGCTTTTGGGATTGAGGAGTTGAAATTAACTGTCCAAAACTTTGTAAGAGGAAAAACAAAGTGCATTGGCTTCTGATAGTAACACCTAACTGACAAGTTACTTCCCAAATATCAAAGTTGCAATCCTTACTAGGAATTGTCTTTTGTTTCCTGTTTGACTTCTTGGATGGGCCCATGTTCCAAGCTTGATCCTTGAACTCTACTCAAGACAGGACTCATAACAGGAGTAGCAATACTGCTATTTCTGTCAACTGTCATATTCTTGGGAGTGTTGTCTTCAGAGCAGAAGCTTGCGTGTCGGGACAACTGGAAACCCTGTGCAGCCTGCATGATCTTCTTCGAAGGATAGCTTTTGTGTTGAACAGAAGGGGAAAGGACAGAGTCTGAATATGAAGGAGGAGAACGGTTCTGGGTGCTGTTCTTACCACTGGAAATTTCAGTTGATTGCAGCCACGGGGGGCAGTTATACGTTAAAATGTTTACTAGTGCTCCCTTTGGTTTTTTTACCGTATTATCTTTACGGCTCTGACTGTTCCTGGATGACCAAGGGCTACACTTGTCCTTTTTCTGCTGGATTAAATCATCTCCAGTCCTTGGGCTGCCACACACACAGGAGGTATTTGTCACTGTATCCTTACTGCAATTCTGATCGGTGCTCTTTGACTCTCCACTAATGTCTGATGAAGGGAGACTATTGGATTTTAGGATTTTCTGACAAAATTCCAGTTTCTCCTCAAGGAGTTGCCTGACCTCCTGGCATTTCAGCCAGGTTACATTCCACATCTTCATCCCTTTAGTACTGTTTAGACTATGAACCTCGCTCTTCATCTGCTGAAATCTTTCTGCAGAGAACTCTGTAAACCTCTGACGATAACTCTCAAGATGCTCCAACATCGCTTCATTGCACATTCCCAACTGGTTCAAGTAATATTTACAATCGTCTGCCAATGCTGTAGCCTAGGAAAAGAGGACAAGCATAGAGATTAGGAATATACAGCAAATGTTGGAATTTTGGAAGAAAAACAGCAAAGGCTGGAAACAGCAAATCAGTGAGTGCTTGTGAAGAGAAACAACTGAGGTTTGAAGAAGTTCATGTCTTCTACTCTCTCCACAGCTCCTGACTGATCTGTTGCATACTTCCAGCACTTTCTCTTTCATGTACAAAGGAAATATTTACCATGCTAGACAAAATTACACAAGCTGTATTCTTAATCCTCAGGAGTGCAATAGAACACTTGCTTGTATGAGAACAGCTCCAACAACGCTTGAGATGCTTGACAGCTTCTTTGGCACCACAGTCATCATAGAATCATTGAGGACTACGGGACGGAAACAGGACCTTCAGCCCCACTTGCCCATGCCGTCCAGTTTTCACAATTTAAACTAATGCCATTTGCCTGCGTTTGATCCATATCCCTCCATACCTATCCCATCCATGTACCTGTCTAAATGTTTCATCTTCAACGTGCATTCCCCTCACCAGTCACACACAGTGCCAGCAGTGTGCAGAATCTACAAGATGCACTGCAGTAACTTATCAAGGATTCTTGAGCAGCACCCTCCAAACCCATCATCTCTACCACCTCAAAAGGACAAGGATGCATACAAACACCAGCAGCTGCAAGTTCCACTCCACATCATTACACATAACATCCTGAATTGGAAATATATCATCATTCCTTCAGTGTTGCTAGATCGAAATCCTGGAACTGCCTACTGAACAGCATTATGGGTGTCCCCTACATCCCAGGGACTGCAGTGGTTCAAGAAGACAGCTCACTACCACTCTCTTCAGGGCAATCAGGCATGGACAATAATTGCTGGTCTCGCTTACGTCCCATGGATTTTTTTTTCTAAAAATGTTCATTTGGACTTCTACAAGCTATTTGCATATATACATTCTGAATTTGAGGAAGTCTCTACTTCATCATCAGACATATGTATGGTGGGTTTGTCATATGGCCTATATACTACATCAGGTAAGAAACAAAAGATACCGACTGAGAATCAGAAAAAGCTTCACTAATTTAATTACATTTGTTTAACAACAGGAAAGGATGAATCTAACAGATGCAGGTCAATCAGGACAAAAGTCTTTAGAAACAATAATCTAGAATAAAATTAACAGTCATTTGGACAAGTGTAGATTGATTAAAGAAAAGCCAGAACAAATTTGTTGAAGGCAAACAGGAACAAAGAAATAAAGAATATAAGACAAGGAGTAGGCTATTTGATCATTCCAGCCTGTTCCCCCATTCAATACAATCAGGATGATCATCTGACTCAGGAACCTTATCATTGTACCTTATTACAGTAGCCGTACAAATTAACGAGAGCCTCCAATTCCACTTGACACCTCTTAGCTTTAATGTGAAAATTGGCCAGCCGTACTTTGAAATCTTCCACCATATCTTTGAACACTGAAAACTCAGGATATGAAAAGCCATCCAGTTGGTCTGCTTCTTTCAACAGCTCCAAGCCCTTTTTGTATTCCTGCTGCATGGTGTCATTGTAGGGAGATTAAGGAGTGAAAGATTAAAAATTGTTGGACTCAACAAGAACAACTGCATTTATATATCACCGATAATTTTCCACAGCAATTCAAAGCACTGCTATCAAACAAAGTTCGACATCAAGGCACATGGGGAGATATTAGGATACGAGGGGCAGGTTTTCAGCACTGTCTTGAAGTGGAGCTAGAGCTAGAAGGGTAGAGAGGTGAAGGGGCGGAACTGCAGAGCTTAGAACAAAATTTCAGTTTTATCATTATTTTCTCCTATTCACTCCATCCATGTTGTGCCATTAGTAAATTTTCATCCATCTTTCTCAACACCTTTCATGTGGCTATTGTGAAACCGTTCAGTGACTAGCTCCTTGTAACTTAGGGTCTGAGGTGTAACTTCTGTTAAATACATCTGAACATAAGAGGCATATTAAACCTGCTGTGTACTGAACTGAGAGGTAATTCACACCACAACGTTGAGTTTAAACAGCAACATCAAATATGTACAATAATCAATGATTCCTAACATGAATTTGATTATTTTATTGCCTTTTGCTTTTATAATGCAAACAAAATAAAAATAATATGAATTGTCAATTTTCTCCAAATTAGATGAAATATGCACAAGATAAACAGCAAATTTACTGTGGTTGCTGTCTGTTAGCATATCATAGCATCAAGGAAGATGTTGCAATTTGTAAATTATGGCATGATCATAACTGTAGAAATCATGTCATTAGTTGGAATGGAATTGTCCCACTTCATGGTATTTGCCACCTCTACGGCAAAGTGGAACTGGGTAAACGTCGTTTGAGGTAGTTCACTGCCACCAAACTTTCTTTGTCTTAGTCTTATTTCGCGATTAGTGGTAGAGGACACAATACCTTAGAGTATGTATATTAAAGGCATTGTTCTGAAATAATAAGTGCAATTACATTCAGTCAGGCATAATACCTGGGATGTTAGGGAGCTGGTATAGATACTTCTGCTCTCTCTAAAAGCTAGCGAAAAACCTCCTTGCCTCTATGCACAGACAGTCTGTAACATCAGCAGTATGGGTGGAGCTAATGTAACATGAACATTAACCCCTTCAAAACCATTACTTTATATAACTGTTCCGCTTGTACTGGTTCTCGGCAATGTGGTTGCTAGGGGAATGCTTGTTGTTTAGTGTATGTTCTATTTGTATGAAGTACATAAGCAACAAATGCAAAAGAACTTATCCATAATCAAACTGGAATTAACTCAATTAACTCCTTTGTAATGAGAATCATCTTGCAAGGTGAATAACTAAAAAATGCATAATTTGAAGAATTTATTCAACGGACACATACAAGGATATTTTTCCTGATTGGTGCTGTTTCTACAGTATTGTTTTTCTAAAATCTTCCTTTTTTAATGCAGATATTTCATATAAATCTTTGTATGACATCTGACTAGAACCTTACTTACAAGAATTTAATCATTGGGAAAATGCTTTCTGTATAATAAAACATACACTTACTGTAAATTACACCAGTGTTAAACGTGACTTACTGTGATCAGCATAAAGAATCCAGAAAAGTTATACTGCGTTTGTTGCATGGCATTCAGCGAATCTCCATTTGTAACTAAATCTTGCAAATATGATTCACCTTCACAAACTAGCCAGTTGTTTTGCTGTAGAATTAACAAAAGGATAATAAGATAGACATTCTCCAATGATCGGTTTTACTGGCTTAAGTCGCAATTACATAAAGTTTTATTTTAAACAACACCCATGGACATTGAACTGAATTTGTAAATGGAAAATGCTGGAAATCCACAGAAAGTCCATTCATTTCCCAATGGACCTGTTGGGTAGCTCTACCTTTCCTGTTCTTTTTATGTCAGATGCACTTTCTTCACTGGAAATGGATTATTATTTTAATATGCTGGCAGATAGTGCAACAGCTGAGAGGGAAATGCATGTCCAGTAAGGCACGAAAAATCACCTGTACCTTGGACTACTTGTAACTGCTGGTTAGGTCACTCATTGCTTGGTACAATGAGGTATGTCTGGTTTGGGACCCAATTGTTAGGGCCGCAGTTGTCCTATTTCTCATGCAGCACACACTGTTCAAATCAGCCTTGGTATCTGAAGCAATGCTGTCTCACAGCGCCAGGGACGTGGGTTCAATTCCAGCCGCGGGCAACTGTCTGTGTGGAGTTTGCACATTCTCCCCATGTCTGTGTGGATTTTCTCCGGGTGTTCTGGTTTCCTCCCACAGTCTAAAGATGTGCAGGTTAGGTGGATTGGCCATGCTAAATTGCCCATAGTGTCCAGGGATGTGCAGGTTAGGTGGCTTAGCCATGGGAAATGCAGGGTTACAGGGTTAGGGTAAGGGGTGTGGGTCTGGGTAAGATGATCTTTGGAGGGTCGGTGTGGGCTCGATGGGCCAAATTGCCTGCTTCCACCCTGTAGGGATTCTATGATTCCCGAAGTTCTGCTGTATTTCTTGAAGGTATTGATGTTCCTTTTTCAGCTGTTTGTCCCAAAATGCACACAATCACTGTGGCCTAAACTTTGCAATTTATTAATGTATCGTCACATTTTTGCATTTGTATGCAAAAATCCTAATTATAAAACCTAAATTATTCTTGGTTTTTTCCATGACCGTGTTCTTTTTCACTTTCAAATGCAAGACTTCCTTCTCCTTGCTCACGGAACTGTGTAATTTAGTCCTTAGGTTTCTCTCTTCATCTATACTTCAGCATCTTTTCATTAAATTTCTTGCTTTTCCTCAAGATGCAACATATTTCCCCTTGTTAAATTACATCAAACTCCTTATCACTGCTGGTTGAATCCCTCACAAGTGTTTGATAAGGTGCTTCATCAAATATCTTCTGTAACTCTAAAGGCACCACATCTGCTATACTCCATTAGGCCATTGAATCAATCATCTTTCCCCAATTTGATAAATCACATTTATAGCAGTATAGGTAAAAAACCTTACTCCAAAGTGCTGATGAATAGCTAAACCCAAACCTGTTTGAATTTGTCCTCCAGTCTCCTTAAAACATGTAAGAACTCAAGATGCTGCAGACACTGATTGGACCTCATCACGAGAGTATGGACATTATCCTCCACTTTATTGTACAGAGATGTCACTGAATCAATGGTGTCCCTTCAAATAAACAGAAGGAACCATTTTAACTCATACAACCAAGAATCTTTAAATCTCATATTTCTTGTAATTATGCTATAAATGTAAGTATGAAAACAAAAAAATAAGAACACATTGAGCATGCAAATGTTGTCATGACTCACTGGGACAGTGCCCTGGAAATCAAGTCCACTACTCAGAGTCACCACAAATACGAAAAAAAATTAATCAAGTCCCCAATTTACCTGACTGATAAACTCAAGTTAAAACAAAACTTACCAAGCTTTTGTACTTTTAAAAAAATAACTTTTTAAAAATAAAAAAAGTGGCACAGTGGCTCAGTGGTTAGCACTGCTGCCTCACAGTGCCAGGGACCTGGGTTCGATTCCAGCCTCAGGCAACCGTCTGCGCGGAGTTTGCACGTTCTCCCCGTGTCTGCATGGGTTTCCTCCTGCAGTCCAAAGATGCGCAGTTTAGCTGGATTGACCATGCTAAGTTGCCCATAGTATCCAGTGGGTGTGTAAGTTAGGTGGATTAGACATGGGAAATGTAGGGTTACAGGGAAAAGGGTAGGGGGATGAGTACAGTGTGGACTTGTTGGGTCGAATGACCTGTTTCCACACTGAATGATTCTATACTTGTTACAAAGAAATTGGCTTTAACCAATCGGAGAAAGGAAATAGGAATTATTGTCTTATAACTGTACCCTTTAACTCCAGTGAAGAGGACTAGTTCTGAGCACCGAAATTTTGATGGAAGGTGTTGAGAAATTAATCATGGGTCAAAGGTTATTCTGAAAAGGGTTGAGGAGTCACAAGTGGTTTAAAGTGATTGAGTGAGAAGCTACTGTTCACATACAACACGTGATCAGAACAGACAAAATTGGCATACAATCAACTACAGGTGTGATGATTTATGTTAGTGCCCTGGGGATGTACATGACAACCCACCCCACAGCAAAGGTCAGGTGTATTGGTCATCATGGCGATCAACAATCTGAGTTGTCACTAGCCCTACTAGCCAACATTCCCTCAGCTAAAGGATGGAAAAGTTGGAGTGTGCACCTGAAAGAAAAGTGTTGCAATCTGGTGGTATTATTGCTGGATGCTTAATCCAGCGACCCAGGTAATGATGTGGGGACTTGGGTTTGAAACCTGTCGTAGCAGATGGCAGAATTTGAATTCAATAAAAATCTGGAATTAAGACTCAATTGATGACCATGATCCATTATTGATTGTTGGAAAAATCCATCTGGTTCACTAATGTCCTTTAGGAAAGGAAACTGCCATCCTTACTTGGTCTGGCCTACATGTGACTCCAGACCCATAGCAATATGGTTGACTCTTAACTGCCTCTGGGCAATTTGGGATGGACCGTAAATGTTAGCCCAGCCAGTAATGCCCTCATCCCATGAATGAATGAATGAATGAATAAAAATCCCAAATTGCAGGGCCATATTGACTTATTGACTTTTGGTAAAAATTAAAATCAATAAACTCCTTTAAAATCGTAGAATTAGGTCCACCTGTAGTCCTCAGAGGAGCTGAAGCGAGATTCCTCTTTCTTGAGTCTAGCAAGAATTGCTCCACCTTCCAACTGTAAAGTAACCAACCGGGCATCTTGCAGAACATGTTTCATCATCAATTTGTGCTTACTGATGCAATGAATAACTTCCTTTAAGCAGAAAATAACAAAATCAAAGTTGCAGCTGCAGAAAAAAAGTTGTCACAGACTAATTGCATTTTTAACACCCAGTCTACAATGAGAATAAACAGTGGATGGAAACATTGCAGCCTAACAAAAGGCAATTCAGATGCTTCATTGATGCAATTGTCACTACACAAAGTTTCACAATTCTATTTGCATTTGCAAAACGTGATCTGCCATCAATTTGTGAATCGGTGGAATGCTTTTTAGTAGTGAGCTGTGTAAGATGGGTCATTAAGTATATTCAAGACTGAGATAAACAAATTTTAATCAGTAAAGGAAACATAGTTATGGGGAAAAGGCAGGGAAGTTTATCAGATCAGTCATGACTGATTGAATCATTGATTTATTTATTGTTGTCACATGTACTGGGATACAGTGAAGTGTTGCTTTGCGCGTTCTACAGGCAGGTCATACCGTATAAAGTCCATCAGGGTAGCAGAACAGAGTGCAGCGTAGTGTTATAGTCACAGAGATAGCGCAGAGAGAGAGAGATCAGAATTACCATTTGAGAGGGCTGTTCAAAAGTCTGGTAACAGCAGGGAAGAAGCTGTTGTTGAATCTGTAAGTACGTGTATTCAACTTTTATATCTTCTGCTCCACAGAAGAGGGTGTAAGAGAGTATAACAGGCGTGAGAGGGGACTTTGATTATGTTGGTTGCTTTCCTAAGGCAGCAGAAGGGATAGATGGAGTCAATGGATGGAAGGCTGGTTTGGGTGATGGACTGGACTGTGTTCCCAATTCTCCCTAGTTTCTTGTGGTCTTGGGCAGAGCAGTTGCCAAACCACACTGTGATGCATCTGGATAGGATGCTTTCTATGGTACATCAGTAAAAAATGGTGAGAGTCCTTGTGGACATGTTGAATTTCCTTAGCCTCCTGAGGAAGTAGAGCCATTGTTGTGCTTTCTTGACCATCGTGGGTGGACCAGGGCAGATTGTTGGTGATCATTACTCCTAGGAACTTGACGCTCTCTACCATCTCCATCTCAGCACCACTGATGTAAGCAGCTAAGTGCTCTCCACTCTGCTTCCTGAAGTCAATGACAAGCTCCTTCATTTTGCTGACGTTGGTGGAGAGATTGCTGGCTTTACACCATGCCACTAAGCACAATCTCTTTCCTGTATTCTGTCTCATTGCTGTTTGATTTCCGACCTACAACGGTGGCGTCATCAGCAACCTTGTAAATGGAGTTGGGGCAGAATTTGGCCACACAGTCGCGAGTGTATAAGGAGTATAGTAGGGGGCTGAGTACACAGCCTTGCAGGGCACCAGTGTTGAGGATTATTGTGGAGAAGGTGATCTCATTGAATGGCAGAGCAAACTCTAGGGCCTGAATAACCTACTTCTACTCCTATGCCTTATCTGTCTACATGTAAGAAGTTTATTTCTTATTTAGTACAGGGGCTTCATCTTTCTCTCCTCCTCTTCCCTATTGTAGCCTGGTTAGAGAATTATTCAAAATACTAACAACGTAAATGTACATAGGGAAGGATCTAATGTGTGAACATAGAAGAAAGAAGAGATACAGGTTTGATATGGGGGCACAGTGATGTAATCATAATGTAACTGGACAATAATCCAGAGACTCAGACTTAAATGTTCAAATACCGTAAAATCAAAGCCCATACATCAGCTGGTGGAATTTAAATTCGGCTACTACAAAATCTGGAACTGAAAGGTAGAACAAAGAACAATACAGCACAGGAACAGGCCATTCACCCCTTCAAGCCTGCACCAACACATTTTGCCACATTTTACCACATTTTACCTCAGTAATGGTGACCATGAAAGTATCATTCAGTCATTAAAAACTCAACTGATTCACTGATGTCCTTTAGAGAAGGAAACTGCCAAGCTGATCTGGACATAAATCCAGGATCCTGGCTTAGTGGTAGGGACACTACCACTGCATCACTGCCTTTAATGTAAGGTTGACCAGTATTTTGAAATGCTCAATTTTAGAAACTGAAGCCAACAAGTTAAAATAGGAACCAATGTTCAACCAAACAGTTACAATTTCAGCTCGAAACCACAGGAACTGAAAAGCAGACAGTTGCTATAAAGGATAACTGATCCACAAAATCAAGTTTCTTGCCAGGCAGTATGTTGGACAGGCTCAGATAGTTACAACATTTGATCAGCAAGTTTCTGTCTAGGAAAGAAAATTGATGTTTTACCAGCATTGCACTGCTTGATTTGTACCGACCTGCCTCTGATATCATTTACCTGTGGCAGGGCAGTCAATCACTACATCAGTGAAATATAAATGAAAGTGTTACTTTGACATTTTGAGCCATTTTTATCAATTAACAGAGTCCTCACATTAGACACAAATATCATTTGGCAACAGCAGACTTGTCAATCATTTTGAAGCCTATGTCAAGATTAAATGCAATTCCTTCCTAGAGGTATGTAATCATGTATCCATTTCCTTGGTTTCTTTTCTAACATGTTCCTTGTCTGTTTTAATGTATTTTATTGCTTGTGTACCTGTTCACTGTTTCCAGGTTTGTTCGATTCAAATGTTTGAATGGTGTCCAGCAACAATGTGGAAACTTCTCTGCAGTTTGTTACAAACAAATCTAGCTTCTGCAACAACAAAACAAAATTACAATTTGTGCTAAATAAACAGTCTTCACAAATGTTACAGGCTGAAACCTAATGTAAAATTCAAATAACATCTTACCTAAAAATCTCTTCAAACGTGACTAAAGGAATTTTACAGATAAATGCAAAACTTTGCTTGGCTATAGTCGAATGAAATTGTGGGCTGATGCCTTCTATTCTTTGGGATCATGCTAATTCATGTATTGCAATGATTTAGGTAGACTCTATTTTAAACCAGTTTAGAAAGGGATGGTGGGACTTTCCCTTCAAAGTAAGTTTTCTCCTGAAATTTTAATCGCAGCAAGAAAAAGCCAAAGGAATTTGGAGAGAATCTGAAGGGCTAAAGTTCTGGTGGGGCAGATCCCCAATCAATGTCTGCATTTGTCAGAAGGTCACAAATTAAGCCCCACTTCACAGGCAGAAACACATGAGAGCAGTACTGTAATGTCACATTGTCAGAGGTTTCAGATGAGATGGTAAACCGAACATCTTTCTGCTCATGGAAAAGACTTCCTGGCAGTCCAACAGCAGAGATTTTCTGCCCGATGTCTTGGTGAACATCATCCCCCCCAAGCCTTCAGGAGAATAGTTTCCTTTGTCTTCTTGCTGCTTAATGAGCCCTGCAAAGATTTGCTGCTGTGTTTCTTGCATTACGACAGTGACTACATCATAATCACATTACATGAGCTCTGAAGCAGTTTGGGACTCGTGAGGCTGTGAAAGGTATGATATAAATGCAACTTATTCTCCCTTGAGGTGTTATTATTTACTACAACGTATCCCCATTGCTTGTCACAATGTTACAAAGCACAAGGCTGACACCTAGTGACAGAACCTCCTTCCTGTCACTTTAAAATGAAAATCAGAATTAACTTTTCTAGACAGTTAGAACAGGCTTTCAAAACTTTAAAATTGGATTAACACATGGAAGAGCAAAACACTAAACACCAATCATATCCAACTAATTGACTGGATAAACCAGAGGAACTTATTTTTTAAAATCACCCTTTTGGCATGCAGTTTCTCAGACCAAGATCTTGTTTTTACATTCCAATCCCATAAAGTGAAATTCCGGTTGAAAAGTGAAGGGTAGGTGATGGGCAGCTTCCTATCCTTGGACCAACTGAGGCCGCTATCCCTGGTAATTTATCAAAGCTAGATGGCCCAACAACACATACCATCCTATCCTGACATCCGCCCTGCAAACTGAGAGGTGAGCCCTTCTCATCAGGCATTCTGCACCCCAGAGAGGTCCATCCGGCAGCAAAGGCTTCCTCACTGCTCTCACACTGTATATCACTCCTCTCATTGAATCCTGACTCACTGACCCACAGCATCTTCATCTCTTCCACAACCCAGCGATGCCCCTGGTCTGCGGCTCTCTGCAGTACCAGTGGTGGCCATTGCTCCTTGTGGCGCCACTGTGTCGGAGAGCCTGTTACCCCATTAAAGGCCAGGCAGCTTTTCAAAGCAGAACATCCTGCTATGGTGGGTAGGAAGCCACTTTCTCAAGTAAATGCACAATGTAAATAGAGCTGAAGAGTGGCAGATGGAGTTTGATTTGGATAAATGCAAGGTGTTGTGTTTTGGTAAAACGAACGACAGAACTTGTATAATTAAAAGTAGGGCCTTGGGTAGAGTTGTCGAATAGAGAGACCTAGGGGTTCAGGTGTATACATTTTTTTGATGTTTGCATCACATTTGGATAGAGTGGTCAAGAAGGCGTTATCGCATGCTTGCCTTCATGCTCAGACCTTTTAGTAAAGGAGTGAAGATGTTATGTTGAGGATGGAAAGTTTGAGTTATAAAGAAAGGCTGGATAGGCTGGGAGTTTTTTCACTGGAGCATAGGAAGTTGAGGAGTGACCTTATAGAAATTTATAAAATTGTGAGGGGTACAGATAAGATGAATGGCAGGTATCTTTTCCCTGCAGTGGGGGATTTCAAGACTAGGGGACATATTTTTTTAAGTTGAGTTGAGAAAGATTTAAAAAAAGACATGAGCGGCAATTTTTTTTACACAGAGAGTCGTTCGTGTGTGGAATGAACTTCCAGAGGAAGTGGTGGATGCAGGTACAAGTATAACTCTCCACTGGTTGGAGTTACACCTAGCACAAAGGAAGACTATTATGGTTGTTGGAGGTTAGTCATCCCAGGACATCTCTGCAGGAGTTCTTCAGGATATTTAGTGTCCTAGGCCCAACCATCTTCAGCTGCTTCATCAGTGACCTTCCCTCCATTATAAAGTCAAAAGTGGGGATGTTCACTGATGATTGCACAATGTTCAGCACCATTTGCAACTCCTCGGATACTGAAGCAATTCATGTCCAAATGCAGTAAGATCCAGACAACATCCAGGTTTGGGCTGACAAGTGGCAAGTAACATTCACATCACACAATTATCAGGCAATAAGCATTTTCAATATGAGACAATCTAGTCACCCCTTGACATTCAATGGCACCACCAACACTGAATCCCCCACTATCAACATCCTGAGGGTTACCAGAAGCTGAATTGGACTAGCCATATAAACACTGTTGCTGTGAGAACAGGACAGAAGCTAGAAAACCTGCAGCAAGTAAGTCAACTGATTGTCAAAAGTCTGTCCACTGTCTACAAGACACAAGTCAGGATTTTAACAAAATACTCCCCACTTACCTGGGTGAGTTCAGTTCCAACAACACTCCACAAGCTTGACACTATCCAGGAAAAAGCTGCCCAATCGTTTGCCACTACATCGATAAACATTCACTCTCTCCATCATTGATGCTTAGTAGTCTATGGGCTGCAGAAATTCACATTCACCAAACTAACACAGGAATACTCTTTAGACAGCACCATGACCCATGACCACTATCGTCTGGAAGGACAAGAACAGCAGATACATGGGAACATGACAACCTGCAAGTTCCCCTCCACATTATGCACCGTCCTGACCTGGAAATGTATCACCATTTCTTTATTGTTGCTGGGTCAAAATTCTAAAACTCCCTTGCTGACAGCTTTGTGGGTGGACCCACACCAAATGGACTGCAGTGATTTAAGAGGTCAGCTCATCAACACCATCTCAAGGGCAACTAATTATGGCCAATTAATGCTGGCCCAATCTCTGAAGCCCACATTCCATGAATCAAAGTTTAACAAGTGCTAGTATCCAATCTCTCCAATGCTATAATCTAGTAGAACTGTACAGCTCCAGTGAATTAACCCCTGATTATTCTACACCTACCAAAACAGGATTAGAATTTGCTTAAAAAAAAATTCAGGGGAACCTAGGACAACAAGAATCTCCAGAGAAAGTAGCTGCTGAGTGGGATTCCACAGCAGTCAGAACTAAAACTCTGTTGATTCTAAACCACATTAAATATTTGTATATCAAAACTAAAAGGCAGATTTATCAAATTTGCTGGCAACGCTATAACTGGAAAATGTAACACTGGTAAATATCAAGTATTGTACGTTGTCTAAAATATGTTTACCTTAAAAATACATGAAATGGAAATCCATTTATAGACACAGATTTAGTAAGGGATTTGAGATTGATGGCTTCCTCATCAGTTTCAACCTCATGACGATGCGACTGGATTATTGAGTAGGACAATAAAGTTATACTGGAACACTTAAATGTGCTGGTCAGACCACACTGGGAATACAGTGTTGAATTATAGTCACATGCCAGAAAGAGCAATTAAACTGTTTCCAAATAAAAAGGGACTGAAATATAAAATAAGATTAGAGGAGCTTAAGAGTGACTAAGGGAGATCTCACTGAAGTATTAAATATCTATTGGTAAGGATAGACAAGACCACAAGATTACTACAAGTTTGAGAAAGTAGGGCCAAGAGATTAGATTGAAATTGGACTAAAGTGGTTTGAAAACAGATGTTTGAAAAGAAATATTTCTGTTCAGAGATGAATGTTTGGAATGAGTCCCTCCACATCATAGTGAACTTTGCTCAGACATTGAACAAAATCAAAATTAGCCTGTTGCTGCAACAAGAAAGTCAGATGACTGGAGGTTAAGTGACAACTGGTCAAATGGCTTTACTCTTTTTTTTTATACATCAACATTGAACAACGAAATGATAGGCAGAGAACAATCTGGCTCATTAATCCTGCCCCACGCTTACAATCTCTGTAGTGTTATGATTAAACTCTTTAAAGCCTTGTCTTCCTCCTAACCCCAAGAGGAAAGTAACCTCCTGTTTTCTTTATTCACTTATGGGATGTGGGCAATACTGACTAGGGAAGCAGTTACTGCTCTCCCTACTAGCCCTTGAGAAAGTAGTGGCAAGCCGTCTTTTTGAACCACTGCAGTCTGTGTCTTGTAGGTTGACCCAGAATGCTGTTAGAAAAGGAGTTCCTGGATTTTGATCCAGTGATGCTGCAGGAACGGTGATATCATTTCCAAGTCAGGATGGTGAGTGGCATGGAGGGGAACTTGCAGGTGGTGCTGTTCCCATGCATCTGCTGCCCTTGACCTTCTAGATGGAAGTGGTCATGGGCGTGGAAGGTGCTGTCTGAGGAGCCTTGGCAAATTTCTGCATTGCATCATGTAGATGGTAGACACTACCACTGCTGAGCATCAGTGGTGGAGGGAGTGAGTGCTTGTGGATGTAGTGCCAACCAAGCAGGCTGCTTTGTTCTGGATGGTGTCAAGCCTCTTGAGTGTTGTTGGGGCTGCACTCATCCAGGCAAGTGGGGAGTGTTCCATCACACTCCATACTTATGCTGTGTAGATGGTAGACAGGCTTTGGGCACTCGGGAGATGAGATACTCACTGCAAGCTTCCTAGTTTATGACCTGCTCTTGTATCCACAGTACATATATAACTAGTCCAGTCCACTCTCTAGTCAAAGGTAAGCACTGGGATATTGTTAGTGGGTGCAGCAGGATAAACTGAAAACAATAGGAGGAAATGATTGGAACATTTCTCTTAGGCAATTAAAACTCATCTAGGAAATCAAACTGACAATGCCAGA